AAACACATGTTTCGAACGCACTGCTGAAGAAGTTCCCAAGGCCTAAGAAAACACCTGCATTTCATCATTTCAAGCACTCCCAGCCATGAATCAGAAACCGGTCGACTGCATGTTAACTATTGGGAACACGAAGCTGGTTCATGGTTCCTAAATGCTATTCGTTTTTTTCACAGTTCCTTCGCTCAGCTTCGAGCGTTGCCACCCAAGATGTTGGCAATATCCTTAGCAGCCAAATTCTCGCATCCCACCCTTCACAAAACAACTTGCGGAAGGAAACGTTCAACTCCAAAACGCAATATTGAATATCATGCATTGGGGTGGTGGTTTGAGGGGTCGTATGGAGCATATGCCAGTCCCAATGGGCGCGTCTGGGTCATGTGGTGCAATTCTCCATCATTACGGCCATCGTGCACTCCGCCGGTGAAGGTGTCAAGGTGTCAACTAGCGCAGCCCAGCGAAGAGACCAGCAGCCCAGCCTGAGATGACTGAAAAGCCTGAGGAGAATGCAAAGGTCAAATCCAAGGCCAAAACTATGGGCACAGCCCTAGTAAAGCTGCCTGAGGAGGAAGAAGAGAATGACGAGCAGGGGGGTTGTTTCGCGTTGAGGTCTCTAGCAGCAGCAGACCACCAACAGCCCAGCAGCATACCAGCAGCACCCCAGCTGATCCTGGTACGCTTGCAGAAATGGCACAGTCATGAAGAGCAGGAGATGGGCAGGCGCCGGGCGCGCGACGGGGCCTTATTTGCGACCTCGTCAAACATCGACATCGAGTCGCGGGCTGTTTCGAGTCGATCAGCTCATTGTTGTTGAAAGGTGTTACTTTGTCTTAATAGTGTACAATGGGGGCCAAAAGAAGAGAAAACAAACAAACAATTTTGGGACTTATAGTTTTTAGGACCATTATTTTAAAGTTTTTGGCCTCAAAATGGTCTGAAGAAGCCAATAATGGTTCCCGTCGTCAATCAGATGTGGGCATCGGCTTTGCCGGGCGGCCCTGCGACGCATGGTCAGGCGTGCCACTTGCGTGCTACATCCGCACACTCGCGCCTACATCTATAACGTTCAACGGTCCGTCTATCCGTTGAGTGGAGTGGGAATGGTGCGGAATGCCTGACTGGAATGAAGGAATGAGTGAAGGAATGAGATGAGATGAGTTGAGTCTCACACCAACTCATCTCAAAGAGATCAAGTCTCAACTCCCACCGATCCAGTCACCGCAGCGGATGGTCACGTGACGCCGCGAGGTCTCGTGGCCTCGGTTTCGTTCTCGTTTTCGCCACGTGGGACCACGGACTCCGATCCGTGAGCTTCATCTTAGACACCGAAAGGCCTATGAGGTCCATGCTGTTTAACCAAACATGGTTACATCTGGGATAGCCACCGCCTTTCTTCGGATGCTAGCGGTCTCTCTCTCTCTCTCTCTGAGACCCCCCAAAAAGACATAAAAACACGACATGTCACTGACTCACACCGACCAAGTCACAGCCACCCGAACCCCCCCACCGCCCCGGTCCCACCGGTCCCAAACCTTTCCGACGTCCAGCGGCGCCCGGGAGAAGAAATCTCCGGATGTCGTTGAAGCTCAGCGGGTTGCCGATCTTCACCTCGGTTCCACCTGGGTTCCGAGGAGCCGGACGAGTCCGAGGCGAACGAGGTATGGCGATCGATCGAAGAACTCATGTGGACGAGTCCTCGTCCTTGGGCTCATGGAGCGCCGAACGATGGAGCGCCGCGCCCATATGGATCCCACCTCCACACCTCCGGCAGCTTGGAATGGATCTTCTTTGATGTGGAGATCTCGATGAGCGAACGAATCAGCTGGAGTTTCATATATCTTCATAGTATCTTCAAAGTATCTTCATGAGATTTCAGGAGTATACCGTATACCCCTCATCCTCGCTAAGTAGTTAAGTAGTGCACCACGGTCTTCTGAGTCGTGCTCCCTGGGTCTTCGTGAGTCCATTGTGGAATCACTTTAGATTGTCTCGAAGGGAGTTCACTTCCACAACAGCCAGCTGGTTCAGCTTTCATGAACACCCCACAGCTGATTTCAGGGTCGACTCTCTTCTTCCCAAATGTTCGCAGATTAAACTTACATCATCTGCGTCCAATTCACAGGGCTTCACCCACCCACCCGACGTCGCAAGTCCCAGCCGCTCACGTCGAAGTTCGCCGTGGCCGAGGGGATCGACAGCGCGTGGCGCCCGTGTCCGCCGCCGGCGTCGTCTGAAGAGGCAGAAGTCTGTGGGTTTCGGCAGTCTGTCGGACACTACGACCACCTTCTGAGAAGCTACTTGGATCCCTATAGGGTGTATATCGATGGTTAGTGTTCATGTGGCTTTTCGGGGGGGGGTTAAATTACGAGCAAGGATCTTTCTGAGTTGCTGAATGAATGTGGTAGTTGCAGGTTATATTTATAAATGATTTTAGTTGACCTTCATTGACCTTCTATGTTTCAGGACACTTTTGTCCATTGCATGTGTGGTCATGGCTAACAATGGCTAACATACGGTGCCACCCAAGCCCACCAGTGGAAAAACAAAGACACACAGGGACGATGAACTTACGATTGGTTGGCTTGGCTGCGATTGGCCGTATATGGCCATATGGTAGAGCATCATCGCTTTTTGCCGCCTCGGCATAGCGAAAGGTTCTTGTTTATACCGTTAGGTGATGTGAGTCCTTAACGTCACAAGTGAGCAGCCAGTTTTGCTTATCATCTTCATCCTTTCTTCCAACCTGTCGCGATGATCCATGGGCTGTTTACCCCTCCAAAAATGATCAAAGAAACACATGTGTTCCTCTCCCGCCTCTCCTCTCGTCCTTGGCAAGTTGTTTGTTCCCCGCGGGGTTTGAATTCAGCTCTAACTGAACTTGGTCAGACCTGCTCTTTTTTCTGTTAACCTGCTTGGATCTGCTTGGATGTTCCCCCTCCCTTCTTCGGTTCCTGTTCGACCGGAAGTTCAACCCTCGACTCGACTGGACTGACTGAACTGACCGCCCTGGACTCGGAACGACCCCTGCCTTCCCAGGTGACCATCTCATCCTCGCTGGAGTCCTGGTCGCCCCCAGCCGTCTGGTCTCCAGGGTCAGTTCCGGTTCGGGTCGAGCAGGTCTATGGAGGTATGGGAGCCATCATCCAGCCGTCTCCAAGTCGGGGACGGCAGGGATGTGTCGTTTTCTCAATCGATGTTGATGGATGTTGTTGTTTCCGGTCCTTCAGACCTGCTGTCAACCCCAAGCGCAAGTGTTCCATCAGTCCAAGCCTCCAAGCCTAAGAAGAGAGGCTTGGAGGATGATGCATAAGGCGCAAGTGTTCCAAAGCATCGACCACTTGTTTCGTCCTCATGTCACTTGCTCGTCAGCTTCAGCTTCCATGCTTCATGCATCAATGCTGCGCTGTTCTGGAAGCCATCGCTTTCAACGATGCGCTCCTCGTTTTTTCCCACTACCCCGTGACCCCGTGCCACCTAGACTACACTGAATGCTTCCACCAGTACTTTGCATGACATGAAAAAACATCATCAAAGTGACACACCAAACATCATCACCTGCAACAGCTTCTAGTCCCAACCAAATCATACCGCGTTCCCTTCTTTATACCATGTTCTTCCGCCTGACCCCGCCCGCTTTCGTCGCGTTACTCCGCTCCTGACTGGACTCGCCGCTCTCGCTCCCCGTGTCGCTCATCGGCACCATGGCGGCGGCTCCGCGGTGAAACCGCGGGACGTGGCGAGGCCGGACGTGGCGGGGGCCCGGTGAGTCGGGTTGAGGTCTGGGTGAGGTGACGTGGTGGATGAAGCACGGATGATGCGAATCGTCTCCGAAGCGGTTGGGTGGGGTAGACGGGGGTGTTTGGACCCCCACGCACCCACGAGTAGGGGGCCCGCCCTTCGTCCGGCGCTTTTGGTGGTTTCTTCTGCGTTTGAACAAACTACGGAGGGGAACATACGTTTACATCGCGGGAAGAAGAACGAAGCTGAGGTGATCGAGTGGCCTAGGTGAACAACCTCTTCAGCCAAGCAGGTTAACATTGAAGAAAACCAAGCCCACCAGAACCCCCGTTTGGGGTGTCTATGAAAAGGCCCCTTAGATAGAGGTTCAGGGGTCCTGGCAGAGGGCTGTTGGTTGGTCTCGAGGGTTAAGTAAGGGCGCCCAACTGTGCAATTGGACCCCCATTCCATCAGCATGGTCTGCTTACAGCATCTCGCCTTCTTCGCTGTTCACCTCTGGTTCATCCTTGAGATGACAGTGGAATAAATCCCAATGTGTTAAGGAGCTTTCCACTCAGTAAAGGCAGTCTTTCATGTTCGTCCTCGTTGACTCTCATTCTGATCCTCACAGCGGAAGGCACATCGCAACCGGTTGAAGGAACAAACCCCGTCGGCATCTTTTTGACAGGGACTGGAACCCGGGGAGGTGGAGGAGGATGGACAAGAATCGGATTGTTCGAGGGGTTTGGGTTTTTAACTAATGGACACACACTCAAAATCGGTTGACCATAAGGAAATTGATGTGGTCCAACCAGCGAAACAGAACCACCAAGTGAACCAACCAATCCATACAAATCCAAACCGGACCCATAGAACTTTGCAGGTATCCGTCACCATGAATCTTGTTCAGAATATTTCAAGCCATCGGTTGCCGTGATGTTTGCCGTGATGTGAGCCTGGGTGGTCCTGCTTGATTCGTCCTGGCTTCTACAAGCACCTACTTACCTTGCCGACCATCGACTTTACAAGACAATCACTCAGTCCCCCAACCAGGTACTGCCCCTTATTACCGGATCCAAAAGCTATACCTCGATCAGGAACCCCTCTCCGAATACTTCCTCCAATCACTCGGTGCCAATTCCTCTGGACGAGGGGTTGCCGAATTGTTGACGACCCGGGCTGGGCTGGTGACTGGCCAGGCTGCATACGAGCTACCATGGTTTTGTGGCAGTGGCAATGATATCTCTTGACCCACACTGCCCACACTCATTGACGAAACACCCCACCTTGCCGCCCTCACCGTCAGGACTAAGAACCGAGAGCACCTCAGCAGCAAGGTCCGTGTTTGGTAATCAACCAGGGTCCTATGGATTATGGTGGGTGGTTAAGTTCTTTTGGGTCATTAAACCTTGAACTCCTTACACTCCATAAGCTCACACGATACTGCCCACTCTGTGGCCATGTCGACGCCGATAGATTCAACTTCCCCACTCCCAGCCAGAAGTCCATCTGCGTTCCCCAACGAATCTGGAGGATGAATCCAACAGCTCTTCATGTGGCGGAAGACCCCCAACTAACTCCTTTCATGGGGGGAATCAGCTTGGAGCAGGGAGGCCTAAGGACAATCAGTTGCCTGCATCAGCCAGGAGTCACATGGAGTTGGGTGGTGTGGTATGTCCCTAAGTGAGTGGATGTTCTGGGCACCCCGACTTCCTCCATGGATAGCACCCCTTTGGAACTGTTGGAGTGCATCAGGTGATTTGGAGGTGTTTGGATCCCTTCGACTTCCTTCAGCCGCGTCACGTCCCGCCGTCCCGCCACGTCGGCACGGCCACGTGGAAAAGAACCCTCCGTGGCCCAGGTGCCGTTCCGTCTTGATGGCGCCCCTCCCCTCCTCGCCGCACACAACCGCCGACGACCTGAGGAGCGGAGAGGCGGAGGTGGGCGCTGCTGTGGGAGTGCGGGAGGTGCTCAGGATGAGAAGATTTGGAAGAAGGGGAGCACTCAGGATTCTGGAAGAACTCTGAACTCTGCTGTGAGAGTTCAAAAGAGAAGATTCTTCCAGCACCTTCAAAGGGGTCTCCAATGGAATACCCTACACTACTTGTGGATCTCCATTGGACACCCCTTTGAAGGTCCAGGTTGAAGAATCTTGCGATGTTTTAAGATGTTGAAGAAGATCTGAAGCTGTGACCCGCACGGCATAGCGTATGGATGTGTGGAGGTGACACAGCGCGGTACGCCTCACATGTCCGGTCGCGCCCTTCATTGGGGTTCCTGATGCCGCTACCTTCTGCAGCTGGAGAGGTGGTTCATGGTGGTTCTCTCCTTCACTGCTATCTGTGCCAAAACCTCATGACCTTGCCCACGGCTGCTCTGCCAGCGTTGGACCTGTATGTCAGTGATGTCAAATCCTCCAATCGTTCAGACCATCATCAGTTTGGAGAATTTCCGGAGTAGTAAGTACTGACATCTTTAAGTCTGTACCTGGTTCTTCAAAGTGACCGAACTTGATAACCTGCTTTGAGTGCACTTAAGCCTCCCTGTTGGGTCACTTTAGGTCGCCTTCAAGAGGTCACTTCGAAGAAGCTGGTATACAGTATTGCAGATTGAAAACACTCTTTTTGTTCACTAACTCAACTGCTTTATTGATCAAACACAGCAGATTGGACATCAAAACACACCCTTCCGAACTTGATGACACCGAACCAACACCGGGAAGTTCCGGGGGTTACCCCAGATCGGCCCCTCTCCACCGCTCTCCACCGCTCGTTGTCTCCACGCGGCCACGAAGGCGGCGTGGAAATGGAGAGCTTTCCGCGCGAGCCGCCGGTGACTTTGCCTGGCGGACGCGTGGTTTATGGGTGGCGGACGGATCGAAGCCTTGGGGCGCCGGACGAATCGAGCAGATGTGTTGTTTTTTTCCACGGAAAAGAGTCGAATACGAGTCGAATAAGGACAAGGAACTGGAGAAGGAAGGATCGAAAGATGCATCGTCTCATAAAGATGTACCCCTCCAACAAAAGGGCGAATAACGACCTATACACTGTAGGAGTTGACGGATTAAATCGAACAAGCCATGACAAGCTTATGCAAGCGAACCACAAGAAAAAAATATAGTTGGATCTTTGCCGATCTGATCACCAAGTCTCCCTGAGGCTTGTTTTGGTTTGTATTATTGTACGTGACCATTAGTGAAGAACCATGATGAACCTTGACTAGTTTGGATTTTTTCCATGGTCTATTACTATACAAGATAGAAACTTGTGGAACCGCATCTATCGTTGGGTTTGTTATGGTTGGACCTTTTAGGAACCCACGGGGTGCCATTTTGGCTCCGCCCTGGTCTCGACCGTGTTCCGTCTGGGGCCAACCGTCCGTGCCGGTAAGTACCGTGACCGGTCAGTCGACGGGAATGCGTTGTTGAGAGTCTGTTATGACCATTTTACATTGGGCGTGGTCGAACAGGTTTCAAAAGAGGTGCAAAACCCAGTCTTCTGGAGTCTGAGTCTAGGTAGCAAGTAGCAAAACTATCCACTTGGTGCTTTTGCCATGCGAATGCTGTGTGCAACCACACCCCCGTCCACTGCACTGACTGAGGGGCTCAAGTTCGGATCAACTTTCTCATGGACTTGTCACAAATCACGCACAAAAGCTCTGTAAACGTCTAAAACCCTTGGCCGTGTCATAAAACCACCGCCCCCCGTGAAGACACAGGCATGAGGTCTTGAAGTATGTCATAAAAGAGTCTATAGGAGAAAAAACACCAATTCCAAGCAATCGCCCCTTCCTCAGTCCTGCTGTTCCACCCAGTCGTCTGGACGTTGGGAGACCCCCCATTCTCCCACCGCAAGCCTGGCAGTGCCACTTCCGCGCGCGGGACCCAGACCGTCGGTGCACAGCCAGCGCCAGTCGCGCTGGAAGAGGGTGGCCCAAAGCTCCTCTGACACACGCGTGGCGCGTAGGTCGGGCGTGGCAAATCTGGCAGATCTGCTCAGGGGTTTTTAGGGTGGAGTGTTCTATCTTTATTTTGGAAGGGCATGCAGGTTGGACTGATGAGGAACCCATGATTTAGATCTAATTTGGGGAGTGTGCCATTTGGAATGGTGACCGCATAATTAGTCACATCCGGGTATATCCCTTCATCAGAATTCCCTGCATGTCGCATGTCCTACCTCATGGGTCGATTCCACCATAGAACATGATAGAAATTGCAATTCACTGATGGATTCGGAATGTTTCGGATGATCTTGCAACTATCATACGCTCAGTATACTACAGCGACTTCGCGACTGGAACCGCATGTTTCCGCTAGGCCATCGAGAGCAGGATCTACTCCTTTCAGGACAAAACTTGCTTTACTCACTCCTCAGCAATCCCAGGAAAATACATTATGACCCACTACTATGGAAGGAAGTGGACAGTTCATGCTGGGAAGACCCTTTTGCTCTGCGAATAGGAGGTTTCCAAGCCCATGTTAGTGAGTGAGAGAATAAGTAAACATGGGCAAACCCTTCCCAAATCCGCCATCTTGCAACCCACTCCAATCCTCATCCTCATCTGTTGCTTCCGGGCACCGGGGACCAGGGAGAGCGACTGCCGCCGTGAATTCACCAAAAAACAGGGACAACATGTGTGAACGTTCAATACATATAAAAAACACACACAACAAGAACCTCATATTGAACAAAGCACTCATCAGCATTCAATTCCCATGATGAATTCCCCACGTCTGAACCTCTTTGGCCACCACCAAAAGCCGCAGGCGAGATCGACTCTCCTCGGCATCGACGGCTAAGGCATCTGCGTGGCAGGAGCCTTGACTTGACAGGAGAGAGGTGTCTCTCTGCTCGGTGAGGGAATCATCGATCGCCACTGGACTAAGAAGTTTGTTCACATGCTGGATTCCGAAACAAAACATTAAACACATCTAAAGACACATAAAACATTAATGTTGACCTTTGATTCATAAAGAGATCCGAAATAAAGGTAACAGATGTCCGCCCTGATTAATAAACCCCCTAAATACAGTTAGCACATTAAAAAAATAGGAATAACCAAAATACTAAAATAGAATAGACATATTAAAACAACGGAAAGACACAAGAAAACAATAGTTAAAACAAACAACAGTGATAGTAGAATAGTATGAATAGAAGTAAATACTAACAAAATCCCTAAATAAGGCGTACCCTTGATAAAGTAAAGAAATCTTCCTCATGCCACCACACCCTACATAAAGTGTAGCTAAGCAATTTGGTTCACTGGAAAAATCTTGTTGAACTAGTATTTAATTCCTTTCACTGCTTTGTCAACAGATTGTTTCTTTGGATTCCGTCTTTATTAATTCCTCTTCATCTCACGACTTTTATCATCAAACCACAAAACCTTCTGACAACAATTCTTTATAAATCCCAAATTAAAACAAAAACATTGAAAACTGATCAATACGACTCTGGAAATTGTCCTGACCATGAAGCAACCAAGCCCTAAATAGAGTTTACCCTAATTAAGCTAAAGAATTAACCTTAGTCGTTGCATTCAATATTTCCACTAAAGTAAAAATAGTGGCTGCACCCAAAAGCCCAACTAGGTGGCGCATACACAAAATTAAAAATTTTCCAACCGCTCCAAAAAGCCGAGATCCGAGCTGGCCACATCATCATGTTCGATGAGTATTGTTCACTGCCTGAAGTCCTTTCAACTGAGCACACACATGCTGCAGCGCACATGCTTTAAGCACACCATGACGCCAGAAAAGTTGGCCCACGATGGGTGTGGCCTAAGTTGCTTACTTTTCACACTTGCTGCAAGCACCATGTGTGAAAGTAAACAACTGCTCAATGTTCTTTGAACCCCCAGTGTATAGTGGATCTTGGTGATCCTCCGTATTTACTTTTGGAGGATTGGACCAACCCTTACAAATAGAAATGTGAACGATTGTGGCCAAATTTGAACGATTGTGGCCCTATATATTTATATATATGATCTGGACTCCGCAACCCTTTCCAAATAGTTCAAAAGGGAAAGGCAAGAGCAAAAGTTCAAAAGGCAAAGGAAAAGGGAAAGGCAGTGGCTTCAGAAGAACCTATAAACAATCGAAGACCAATGTCTGGTTTGAGACGACCAACAACGAGCACGAGTTCGAACATCAATGACATGAAGTCAACATTTTCAGGTTCTACATGCAGCCATGGGCCGAGATTCAAGAGATTTCACGCGCAATCCAGTGGACTGAAAGAAGTAACAGAAGAAAACATTTCCATATTGAAGAAACAGCCACTGTTGATGAAAGTTACTTTTCCGCTTTGCAACCAGGGTGAGCAATTGTTGACTCAGGTGCAACAAGAAGAATTGTGGGAGAGACTGTCTGGAAGGGATGGTTGGAACGTGCCAGAGATTTGCCTGTTCAGGTCACTCAGATCGCAAGAGACTTCAAGTTCGGTGGAGGTGAGACTCGTCGTTCAATCTTTTGCTTCCCAGTTGGCCAACAGCATCCAACATTGAGATGTTTGTGGCTAAAAATTATGCGTGTATTTCATCCTGGAGTTGTAGCCAGACAAAATTATGCCACCTCATTATGTCTCATCACTGCTGCCAACCTGATGATTGTTAAGACTATACCTCATTCAATGTACCCATGAGGTTGACTGTCACTGAGCTTCAAAAACAACGCACGAGCCAGCAAGGCAGTGGCACCTCTAATTGAGAGTACGCTTTAGCCTCTTCCAGCCTACCCAGTCCAGGGGTTCATGCATCCATGCCCTCTCAAGTAGCACTGCAATGCAGCCAAGGGACCCTTGACATAGTCACTCCATGTCTGTCCAAAAAAGAACACAAGAGGCCGATCCGGCGGACCGCTGGTTGGCTGCAACCATGAGTTGGTACCAAATCACATGCCACATCACAATTCAATTCGGCGATGACCACTTCCCGTGGCGATCTATAGACACACCAAGACCTTGACCAGGCTTGGTTCTACCTTCCCCTTGCTCTTTCACAGGGTTCCACACCAAGCCAAGACACATCGACAATAAAATGTTACCAGCCAATCATGGAACAGGTAGTAAAAGTGGTGATCCCTTCATCCACTCAAGCACTCCGGACTCCACTCGAAACAATTCTGAACTCGATTTTTCAACCAGTGGCAGCCAGTGACATCAATCAGTCGGTGGGACCAGGATCTTTCAACCAGTGGCAGCCGGCACTCAGCTCAGCCGGTGGGGCCAGGACTGTTTCGATCCTGATTCCTGGCATCTCGATTTCGACCTGCTTGATGCGCAAAGGCCTGAGACTGCTGCCTCCTGACAGATGCTTCAGCCAACCGGGCAGCTTCAGTTTCTGCCATCCTCGCTTCGGCCTCCATGCCTTCTTCATCGTTTGATGCACCGGTGGCCAGCCTTTGAAAAAGCCTGATGGTTTCCTGGGCGTCCTCAATGCTGTGCGCGATGTCCAGGTCACATGCAGCAAGTTCCCTATAGTACTTCCAGATCAGCCTCAGCAAGACTTCTCAGAAGGCGCTTATAATGACCAAGAAATCACAATGAGATCGTCGCATTAAACAAAAAAGATTGCTCTATTATCATGGCATCCCCTAGGCCGCCCAGGGCCATCTTTCCCAATTGGGTCATTGAGTCCTCAGGATGTCAAAGTCAAAAGTCCCAATCCCAGTCCCACAAATTGATTGTCAACAATGAACCACGACAATGTGCGAAATATTAGTCCTCTTTTCAGTTATAGAAACTTGTATGTATACAAAAAGCAAAACATATTGAAATGTTATGATGCAAGTTTCATCACGGTGTTCCGCCAGCTCACGCCAGTTCGTTCTGGAACAGGAAGATTGGCAGCCATGTAGATGGTTTGCAACTTCCGTTGAGCAAGGCGTAGCCATCACGAGCTCATACGGCGGGGGCGCGGATGGTGGCACTGGGCCAAGCACTTCTCCCATCTCCAATCTCCAATCGCTATGATGAGGGAGCTGTTAAACGTAAATCTGGAGCAGGTCCATGATGTTGTAACATGGCCGCGACGGCGGGAGCTGTGGCAACCCTGCTGCCATGGCTCCAGTGCCCTGGGTGGCCTGAGAAATTATTCCAGGAGTCATGTCACCTGCTAGAATATTTTAAAGCAATTTGCCCCGGAGGGTTCTTGGACCCTCACTGACCCACTAAGTGTGTTCAACTCCTTGTTACTTGTTCCGGAACCTTTTTTCGCAGCATTCCTGAAAGCTTCTAGGTCCAAGGCAAACCTGCGACTCATGGGGATGGATGAATGGTGTCGCAAACGACAGGCAATTGAACCACCAAATTGAGACCGAAGCCCGGTAGACACCGTGGGCGCTCAGTGCTTGAGCGCACTTTGTCTTGTCGAAGCAGTCTTGAACCCCGCTTTTCTCTTCAGGGGTAATGGCCAGAGGAAAAGCTTTCAAGAAATCATCTCCAAAATGTTTCAAGATGGTGGAGCAGTCGGATTGCACATGCTCATAGTACGACTTGTTCGTTGCATTCCAGTGTCTTGGTAGTGTTTGCCACCGCAGCAGCTGGGAGCTTGCGGTCCCGCCTCTGCACCTCATTTTTCTTTTGAGCATTGAGGTGCCACGCGCTGATGTTCTTAATTTCAGACATCTAGACAGTGACAAGAAAACAAGCTGGCAAACAAGCGGCGAAAGCCAAAAACAGCTGCGGACAAGAAGGCCAGGAGGAACATGAACATGTCTGGGCCTCATTGACTTCAGTGGGTTTGTTCGATGACGACGAGTGGTTCATGCACATCACCATCACCATGGTCTTCACCAGTCTGGTTGACGGTCCCATTACCTTAACATATACTGTACATCACATGCACGCTACTTAAAGTGCGACAGCGCGGGCAACCCGGCCTGCTATTTCGCGACCAGCCGGCCGGCCGGCTGGCTGATCGAGAAATAGCGGGGCGCGATAAGCTCGCAATGCAAAATACTGCAATCATCTTCGGAGCCTGGCAGACAGATTGGAAGTGATTGGAGCTTCCTTGTGCAGTGAACCCAAATTTCAGTTGCATCATCAAAGTGTCAAGCAACGCCTCCACCGACATTGAGGGCATAGGATCGTGAAAGCTGACACTACGTGCGGCCTCGAGAAAATGAGTCACAAGTCTAAGTAGAAGTAAACTAAAACCCAAACGAGGCAAGCTCTGGAGCTCATTCAACCCCAGCCTCATCCTCACGCTTCCACATGGGTGTTCCGCAGAAACAAGGATCCAAATATAGCAACTTGAACAAACGCAAAGATATGACAAAATGACAATAATGTTGAACTATGATTAATAAAGGTACCCGAAATAGCGTTATATCGCAAAGTTACTCTCTAATTAAAACCCCCCGTGAATAAAGTTAGCGCAGTTCAAACATAAAATGAAACAAAACAAAAACTCAAACAAACATATAATATTTAGAATAAACATAACAAAAGTAATGACACCATCAAAAGTAAACGAGTATATTTAAATATATAAACATTTCCCAAAAAAAAACAAATCTTAAAAACAAAAACCATATCCATAGTTTGTTAACAAAAATCATTAAAAGCAGACACTCAAAAATATTTTTAAAACAACAAACAAGTAATCACCCTAAAGAGTACGTACCCTAAATAAAGCTAAGACATTTTCCTGATGGTGCCACACCCCCCAAATAGTTTACCCCAGAGAAAGCTAAACAATTTGGCTCACTGAAAAAGCAGCTTGTTGAGTTCGTATTTGGTTCCTTTCATTGCTTTGTCAACAGAGTGCTTCTTTGGATTCCTTATTGATTGATTCCTCTTCACCTCACAACTTTTTATCATCAAACACAAAACCTTCTGACAACAAATCCTTCTAAATCCCTTATTGAACAACCATTGAAAACTGATCAAAACTACTCTGGAAAGGGTTCTCCCCATGAAGCCGCCAAACCCTAAATAAAGCTAAACAATTTGGCTCACTGAAAAAGCACTTGTTGAGTTAGTATATAAATCCCTTAATTCAAATTAAATTCTAATTAACTTCATTTGAGTTCCAATTCAAGTCTAATTCAATTCAATTTTACTGTAATTCAATGTCTATTCTATTTCAAATCAAATTCAATTCCAATTCAATTCTAAGCAATTCTAATTCAGTTCCAATTCAATTCTAATTCAATTCTAGTTCAATTTAAGCTCAACTCTAATTCAGTTCCCATTCAATTCCAATTCAATCCGAATTCAATTCCAATTCAATTGAATTTAAGTTTAATTCAAATTCAATTCAAATCCAATTCTGATTTGAATACGTATTCCCTTGTCTTTCAATATTCATTTCAATAAGGGGTCATTTCATTTCCAATTTAAAGTCTCTTGTCCCTTTCATTTTCATTTTCGTTTTAGTACGGGATCATTTCATGTCTATATATATACTAAATTCTTTCTTGGAACCTGGGGTTAGCTTTATTTAGGATAAACCAAGATTTCAATATTTGCCACCCCCGTTTCTCAATCAGAGGTCAACATTACCTTAAATTGTCTTGGCGAATTGGTCGCTTGATTCCGGGCGTTTTGATGATTTTTTCTACAAGTGACCCCAAGCAAATCAAGCAAAGAAGGTGTTTGATTTTCACGTTTCATCGAAGAGCCGGCCGAGAACTCTCCTATAGAATATTCATGATCTTCCAAAGGCCTCGTGCGACCGCCTTTGGAATCACATCTTTCGCCCATTTGAATCCCGCGCATCTACGCCATCCAACCTCACGCGGAATCCCGGTTTAGATCAACTGGCACGAGTAAGCCAATCAGTCCGGTGGCGATCTCTGGTAGTATTTGAGCGGGCTAAGCTCTATGCAATCTACCAAGCTCTACGCACTGTTCGACCGTCCCATCCATCGAAGCCCTGGGGCGATCGACCAGGTTCCGTCTGACCCTCGCTTCCCCGTCGCCCCGTCGCCCCAATCGGCCCAGCGGCAGCTGCACGCCAAGATCGTCTCGGAAGAGAGGAGCCGGAAGCAATGGACCTGCTGGACGCGGCCGGGAGGTGGCTGGAGGATCTGTGGGTCAGGGATCATAGATCCAAGGCTATACAATGTTTAAACATGTCTATAAGCATGTTACAGTAACGATTGGCAGGCACCTACTAGACGCAAGCAACATCAAGTGTTCTCAATGTCAAGAAGGAGGCCTATCTGCATCTGCATGAACCCTGACGTAAACGCCAGCTGCATGAAGAGAGATCACTTTCAGCCCGGAGCACACTCTTCATATTTCCCTTCTCTACCAGCATGCATCCCCCCAAAACTCTGCCTACTCCGAACTCTGGCTGAACCATCTCTGAAAAAAAACCTAACGAGACGTGACGGTCACGCCAGTCCCGGGTCCCGGCAGCTGCGCCACCTTCAACTCCCGCGGCAGCTGCGTCCATAGCATAGGAGGTGCCGGTCAGAGGGTGGAGTTGACACTTGTTTGGACAACACCGCGGTTTGTCTCCGTCGTTTGGGAGAAGAACTCTTGGGAGAACCTTCGGTCTTTTGGTTCGAAAAAACATCGCTTTTTTGGGGGGTGAAGGTGGGGTGGTCGAGGTGGCTGAGTGAGTTGTTCTTCGGTGTTGATATGTTTTGATGGAAGGCGTGGAGGATGTCGCTGTTGGCGTCTAGTCCCCCGCAAAAAAAAGAGGAGCCCTGCAGGAACCCAAACACCGAGGCATGTTCCGGTTTCAAACACACAACAGGGGGGTGGTGTTCCTTAAACACTTAAGTAATCTTAATGATGTACCACTGGGCGTCGTTTTGCCGGCACATACCGCCGAATCACCCCGACACTACCGCCGCATCACCGGGCAACAAGGCCCGAATCATAGCAGGCCCCCCGTCGTTGGAAGCCTGAAACCGGGAAAAGGCCTGAAACAATTGATCCAAAAACGACCCTGCCGAGCAAACGTGGTTCTATTTAATGTATTTTGTTCTATATTATCTATATTTACATCAGTTCATGTTGCTGATGTTCTTTCTTTGGCCCTGTGTTCCACCCTGGGCCCTGAGACGGTTTCAGACTGTGGTGACGGAAGACGAAGGAAGAACTGTCCTTTCCTTTGATAGCAGAATCATGCAGAATCCTTAGTCGATTGATGCAGAATGCTTTGCTAAATATGTTCTTTTCATCGTTGGGTGGCTGAGCACGTGGTCAAGGGAAGACTCTCTCTCTCTCTCTCCCTTGATTATCTTGTGAAAATCGATTCATGATGATTCACGCCACTCATCACCTCATGTTGCATATATGTTTCAGCAGTTCTGGCTGCGAGACAAGCACAACACTTCACACACAAACCCAAAACACACAGATGTGGGGCCATTTGGCCCAGAGTGGCAAAACTAGTGAACAAATCTGAGATGTTTGCTTACCAGTTTACCATGCACGGATTTTAGCATATTTTAGCCTATAGTGTAGCACTGGATTAGCATTAGATTTTAGCCTTCTGCAAAACGCCAACCAGTTCAATTTCTCTGCGTTTGTATGTTGGAAAGTGTAAGAAAGTTTGTGAGACTTTCATATTACATTCCATCAGTTGGAGGATGAGAATGTTTCTAGTGGTTCATCAGCTCTGCGTTCCGATCACACTGCGTTTCACATGGTTTCACTCCCATGGAACGCATGTTTTTGGGTCCACGGTATGCGGAGCAATGCCGTAGACGCCTCACTTCCCCTTCCAACCTCAAGGAGAAACGGATCATGCAGGACAAACGGATCGAGCAGCACGTGTGTTTGGCAAGACAATGATGTGTCTTCATGATGGGTTCGGCGGCTTCCCGCCGACTCAAAACCGCTGCAAAACAACACTTCCAGTCTTCCAGTATCGAAAATCGCAGTGTTGTTCATGTTTTTGTTCAAACTTGTTCAGACACTTCAACCGGAGTTGGTCACTAGGGTTGCTGATGGGTGTCTGAATTGGTCCCTGTCACTAGTACAACAAAGTATACGGATTGAACCCGGTTCAGTGCGCAGGCGGAGCCATTCGGGCTCCGAACTTGCTCACTTGCTCCGAACGATCGTTCACTTCTGAGATGGTTTCACCCATCGAAGTCGCCATTCGTACCAAGGTGCCTTTGCCCTTGAAGGGCATGCCAAAGCCCTTGCCGCCTTTGCCCATCATGCTGATGCCCATCTGGCTGGCCAAGGTTTGCGCCATGGTGGCCATAGGGTTCGACATGGGTGTGACCATGCCTCAGCAGCCGCGTGCTCGCGTGCTCACCGCGGCTTGGGGATCCGGTGTTAAGGGGTCGTGGGAGCAAGACCTGCGAGCAAGACCTGGAGCAGAATATGCATGGCTACTAGGGGCGATCGGACGCTATTTGAGCTCCTGGCATTACTACTAGGAGCAAGAAGCTACAGCTACACATGCTTGGCTTTAAGAATTCAAAAGGCGTGCAGCATTCTGTCGGATCCCTTCTACAAGATGTTCATGCCAACTGCCAAAAGAAAGCTGCTCTTGGCTCATGCCTGTGTGGAACCATCAAGGAGATCCAACGAAAGCACTTGGAACTTCTGTCATGCTCCTTCACCAAGTGGCCTGGGCCAAGCGGCACCTTGCCAAAGCCCTTGCCACTGCCCTTGTCGAAGCCCTTCTCGAAAGACTTGCCAAATCCCTTGTCGAAGCCCTTGTCGAAACCCTTCTCGAAGCCCTTGTCGCCTTTGTGCCCCTCGAATGGCCCGGAACCTGATCCAGTCGGTTTGAATGGAACAAACACCGTCGGTCTCCTTTTTTGGGGATGAACAGTTCATGAAAGTGAACAGGACATGAAGCTCTCCCCTGCCAGTGCTTTCGGTCGGTGTCAGGAAATGGCCGGGTCAATGCATGGCTGGGGACTCTGGATAGATCATATGCATGGACTATCATATAGACTAGCATGGACCAAGGAAATATGGTACTCCAATCACCCCAATCATCCCCCATCCCTCATAACCCCCCAACATGGTTCCACTCGGTTCCACTTATCACCGCCCCAAGTCGCCCCAACCTTCCTCGCTTGCCTCAGCAGCTCGCTTCTTTTTGGGGGGAAGGCTCTTCTAGGCTCTTCTACTGGCCTCCACCCTATTAGCGATTGCCTCCACCCTACTAGCAATGGCCTCCAACCATTCTCCAACCTCATAGCGATGGCCTCCAACCTAGTAATTAGCGTCCTGGCAACCTCACAGCGATAGCCCCTCGCCACTCGTTCGACGCGAGCGCCGCGCCCGAGCTCTTCCGTCCGCTCCGTCCTCCCGTGTCCTCCCGCGTCCTCCGCCGAACGGAGCCGACCGATCGTGTAGCCGGGCCGGCCTTTCATGGGGCCCTTGGGTACCACGAACTTCAGCTTCGCCGACTCGTCGCCCATGTCCACCAGCAGCGCCCGGTGCCGCCGGCCCTCCTCGGCGATCTTCACGAAGACCTGGGCCGCGGCGGAAGGAGGATGCGGCGGAAGGGCGGCTGAAGGGACCAAACGGAGGAGACGAGCGCATCCCAAGTGACCCTAGAGGTTGTACTGGGACCTAGGGGTCTGGGACCTATCTTTTTTTGGGGGGGTGGGATTGGCCCCCCTATGATCCTTTTTAAAAACAACACGAGCCAAGTTTTTCTACAAGGTGATATGGAAAAAGTCCCTGGATGAGCAGAAATCAATCAATCCAACAGATTGAAAGTGATGGAAATCACTGGATCCATGCCTATTTCGTATTGTATGTTGGGAATATCCCTATGACCAGGACCCAGTGGATGATGATGGTTAGTAAAGGCCTTTCTCACACATAGTGAGTGAAGTGACAACTTTAATTTAAACATCTATTATTGTAAATATTTCGATATGGTATGTTTCTTGGTTCCTTCAAATCTTGCGAGAAAGCTTGATCAATAATCATCCATGCCTGAGGATACTCGATCTCGTCGTCCAGCAACGATTCCAAGACCTTGTCCTTGTTCACAAAGACGCAGTCCTCACCACTTGAGATTGGATGTGGATCAAGACATTGGGGCGCCACCAATATGCATGGTATCGTGAGTTTCTATCATTTTCTATATCTACTAATCATAGACCTACTTTACTTCCCAAAACCGAACATCCACATCTGAACACCTTTAAGTCGACCGAACTTCCGACGAAGCACAGCCCCACAGCCCGCGGGTTCACGACTTCAGTCAGTCGACCTGGTCCCAGCACCCAAGGTAGATAGGCCGGCTCCCAAGAACGACACTTGCTCCCAAACGGGATCCAAAGGGTTCAAACAACAATACAAAGAAACACCATGCATACTTCAGAATACATTATTGTTCAATACACAGATGTTTAAAATACAACAATACAACATACAATACAATTTTCATGCATAATTCAACAATCATGTATCACAGCATAATACCATATATCAATCGATCAAACATCAGCACCATATATCAAAAGAACCAACGAGCTGCATTCCGGAAACCCAATTCAGCCGATGGAATGCACCTGGCGTTCGGCCCCCGGGCGAGCCGACGGTTCCGTCCTTGGCCAGGTTCACCAGATCGGCCTCGGACTCGACGCCGTAGTTCTTGGGGGTGAGGTTCTTGGCATAGTATCCTGGTGGGAGAGGAGAGGAGGAGAGCGGTTTTTGGGGGGCGTTTTGGGGCGGTTTCTTGACCCTCACCCGAAGGGGTGAAAGAAGAGCTTCAGCTGCTGTTGTGTGCCGCGGCGTGGAGGAGTGGTTTAGATCTTCAAAGGAAACTGTCCTGCGTTTAAGTGTTCCTTGAAGATACTGTGACCAGTCCTATTGAACATCTAAACCTAATGTTTGAAGAAAGGAAACTGCCCATTGCTATCGGCCTGTTTAGTCTTCCAGTCCTATTGATGTCACACTATATCAATGTCAGGCCAGCGAAGGCAGGGAAGAATCCACAGAACTAGGAGGATGACTGACGCATTTTCCGGTTTGCTTTACGACTGGCTTTCACCTTTGCAACGATATGTCAATGCCTGAGTCCTCCATGGATTGGACTTATTTCATGGTTTTGGGTATGACTTGGTCAGTTGCCAGTCTTCCGGAAGCTCAATCTATGACTACTTGCTCCGGAAGACTCCAGACTGGACCAAGAGCAATGACACTAGAATGACTTCCGCAAGGGACCCAACCTTTGTAGATCTTCAGAACTTGATCGTCTTCACGGGGCCGGGGGGATCTCTACCATCGACCGCGCCTAACTATACCAACTGACGTGGGCGGCCTCCAACTGGCCCAGCTGGAGTCCCGGATCAAACAGGCGGCAAAACAAACACTAACAGCACCCCAGCAACAGCAACCCACAAATCAGTGAACACGCTTAAACGTACGAAACAAAAAAGACAGTAAAAACAATGCCATGACTTTCATGCATGAATTGAATGTCATGCCATGTAAATGCACCCTCTTCTTGCAGTTGTGGATCGGTTGTAGTAGAAGCCCAAATGCTCCAGGATGATGCCCTTGCGATCCGGATCATCGCAATCCTTCTTAAAGGCCCCAGCCATCAGGTGGAGCTCGTAGCACCTGGGGGGTGGGGCAAGGTGGCGAGGCCAAGGCGTCATTTTGTAGTCTTGCAGGCCGAAAGAGGTTAATATATAATGGTTATATAATTCACCAAAAGGGGAGGATTTAATTAGAAAACAAGGGGAATATCTACTCTACATATCTATACTGCATTATACTATAATCTTTTGAAATAGATGTTTGTGTTTTATAAGGAAACACACCCTCCAGACTCTGGGGAAAAACGACACGGGGACTTCCGACGTTGGAGGCCTCGCTAGAGCGATGGTGACGCCTCCTCCAACCGATGCTGTGGATGTGTTGTCGTCTGCCTCCTCCGGTGGTGATTCCTGCCAAAACTATTGACATGCCCGACCACCAATTACCCATACACTCCATGGGACTGCCATATATGCCTACATTGACCCCCCTGGCACCACCCCAACTCATCGGCATCTACGGCAGTCCCGTTTGGGACGACCCCCGTCCTTATGGAACACCACCATCAGCCCTGCGCGCGATAAAAAACACACCACACCACGCAGAACATAGATTCCCAGCGCCCAACGGGGTGGAATCGAAGCACAGCAATGTCATACCGTGTCAAACAGTGCATGCGCCGAAAGAAAGGACCCACATCGCGCGAGTCACGCGGAAAATTACACCAAGATAAATGTGAACTGGAGAGAGAACTCCTTGGTTCATGCAAGGCTAAACAACTCGGCCAGGTGATAGGCTGAAATGTGAACGAACAAAAAATGACACACACTAGGAGTCACATGGAGGGCCTGGATGCTTTGCCTCGTCGCAATTGCGTCGATGTGACGTTCGGGCACCTAACCTCCCATCCCTTCCCTTCCGTTCGGCACCAGCAGCCCGGTGGCCACGTGACTCCTGGCAGCCAGTTTTACTTGAAACGTGTTGAAACAATTTAGGCTGCCACTGGCTAAAACGAGAAAAACACGACAGGGCACAAGGACATCAGGGTCCAATCCTCCGCCGTGAAGTCTTTGTAGAGCGGCCTAACGGGGCGGACGGTGGTGTTGGGTGGTGTTTGTCCATGTGGTGGATGCAGCATTGGTTCTGGCCAGCGACATGTGGTGGAGTAGGTGGTGGACTAGGTGGCTTTTTGTACTTTTTGCGGGAAAAATGCTAAGCAGGAGTGTTCACAAGCTGGAAGATGTCCACTCATGGACAGAGTTCCAACTCAAGCCTGAGGTTACAAGCTTACGCTGAGGTCGCTTGGTCACCGGTCATCACGCCACTCTGTCCAATCCAAGATGTACAAGACCACGAAGAAGAGTAGAATTTTATTGAACAAACGAAGAAGACAAGCACGTAAACGCCCAAAATGAATGAAATGATCACATCATGGATGCCAATCCACGATGATACTATGACAAGATCATAACAAGCTTTTTCGCATGAATCCAAGTCAAGAAGCTCAAACAAAGCAGGTGTGTCACTTTCAAAGCACGAGACACCCTCAGGTTGCACGGTTCCGTTTGGGATGGACAACCATCGCGCCGAAGGATGGTCACCCCAGCGGGCTGCCCCAGCTGGCTGGCTGACTTAAACGGCCAGGGGGGGATTCATGGCACCGAAAGACGGCCTGCCAGGTCGAAGGAGCAACACATGAGGTTCCTTTCGAAGGTCCTGTTCCATCTGGCAAGCCAGGTAACTATATAAGTTATAGCTTTCTTTCACTTTCAAATATTAGGACAAGGATGATACTTCACCCAAGCAGCCGTACTGTACCTGACTTACTAACCTTCCATTGCACAGCCCCAGTGTGTTTGATTCGTTTTCCTCAAAACTATAAGCGTAATCTCGGCTTCTGTTCCATGTTCTGGCTTCTGGATTCGGCATCTGTTCCGCAAAAACCTGCTAAATCCCTCCGTCTCCCTGTCCCTTCATCCCCTCCCTGTCCCTGCCGCCCAAAGACGTACCAGCGCCAATGTCATCCACCTCGTCCACGCCAAAAATGTCGACCCCTTCGAAGTCTACCTCCTGGACGAAGGGAAGACCGAGCGGAGCGACGTTTTGGGGGCACCGACGAGCGACGTTTTTGGTTCCGCGGTGCTGGTTCCGCGGCACTAAGCGCAGCAGTCCGGGATGCATTGCATATACAAGTTCACCTACCGTATCCGGTCCTTATCTGTCTGTTCAAGGACCTTCGATCGGCAAATCACAACAACTCCCCGGCCGGAATCCACGCCAAGGCCGGAATCCGCGTTCCTCCTCTTCCTCTTCATCGACTTCCATCGGATCTACCTGGCACCAAGAGGCACGGTGTAGGCACGGTGTAGGCGGACGCATCAAACAAAGGTCGTCATATAATTGAAATGACCTATTTTGTGGGGTCCATCATGGTCTATCCTATTACCTGGTTTCACTGGATGATGATGCGAGCTGCAAGGCCCGGCCCTGTTCAATACATATCGTGATGCTTCGGGTCAGTCACATGTTTCTATCGGCCTAATAGGACGGACTGGACACAGGACAGGCGGTCAACGGTCAACGGTTGTGTAGGACGTCAGTGACGTCCTTTTGTGAGTGTCTTAAATCCGTTCTGAAACGGTGGTGGTATGTGATCGTTCTCCTTTTCTTGTTGAATGTACAATCGTTTTTCAGCTGGAATCGTTTGGAGATCCAGAGTCCTTCTCTTTACTTGCGTATCTCGTCTTCTGCATATCGACTCACCGTGCCTCTTAAGGTGTTCCATTGATGTTGATCGACGATCGACGTTAGCACCCCGTGCTGACCAACACTGATTCTAAAAACATATGTTCTCTTTCATTTCACACATGAAACGCAATTACCGGTGTTAAGATGTATGTGTTAAGTGTGTTCAGGGTGGCATGTGCACCCCACAAAACCAGGTGTTCGAGAGGCTCAGCAAAGAACCTCGCATGTGCCGGTGATTCTTTTCCCATCCAAGATGTAGTAATGTAGTAGTTTTGAGATTCCATGCATCATTTAGGCTGCAAACAAACACATCTAATATACCAGCCAACAACTCCCAGTTCTGACCTTCCCCGGAACTGGATGGGAGAAGTCACCGCGAAGTTCGCTGGATGTACACCAGGACGTCCTTCCCAACGGCGGGCGGGGCCTTCTCCTCCTCTTCTTTCACCTCTTCCTCCTCCTTCTCTTCCTCCTCGTCTTCCTCCTTTTCAGCCTTTTTTCAAACAGAAGTGCAACAATGCAAAGGAGACTCGATGCCACACACCAAACCACACACAGAGCAACCCCTGCGTACTTGAACCAACCAACACAAGACTTGGATTGACCCCTCCAATGACCAAGTTCTCTTGTGAGCAATCCTGGTGGCACCTTATACAAACATCTACAAACCCACACACACACACACACACCAAACCACCAACAAGAAATGTATTGCCCCGCTTCACATCCCCTTTGTTCGGCTCATTGGATGGAGTCTGTTAACACAACTATTTCAAGCAAGAACACCATCAGCGACGCAGCTACCAATCAATCTCTGGACCACGACCGACTCACACAGCAAGTGATTCCCCGGGCCCGGGCGCAGCAGGCGGAGGGACGTCCGCGACAGTCCGGCGCAAGCAGAACGTGCCAGGTTGATGACTGAAGCCATCCCAAAGCGGCTGCATGACAAGCAGAAAGCATTCCAAAAACAAGGCTACGCCGCCCCAACAAAACCAGGAATGAAGAAATACTGGAAATCCTGAAGCCACTAGCCCAAACAAGGCCTTACTGGGAAACAACATTCCCGCAAAAAAAAGAAAAACACACACCCCAACGCACCAAAATCAAGCCCTCTCCGCCCATCATGGAGGTGAACCAAAATCGCCACCTTCTGTTTGCAAACCCTGCTTCTTCGGTGGCGCCTTCTCCGCCTTCTCCTGTTCCTTCTTCGCCTTCTCCGCTGCTGCTTTGGCCTCTGCCACCTTGGCCGCTTGCAGCTTCCTCGCTTCCTTCTGCCTCAGGTCGTTGCTGTCTCCGGTGCGCCAGGTGGGCCAGGGTTGAGTTGGTCTTGCTGTTCTCCCGACTAGAAGGTCTAGTCGACTGAGGCAAGAAACGCTGGAACACCTCTGGAAATGCAGCGGTATGGAGAACGAACTTGGATAAAAGGTGGGAAAGGTGGCGCAATTCTTCTACCAAAGGGTACTAGAAGAGAACCCCCTATTTTTGCTGGCTTGTACAGGTCTTTGAACCAACCATGTGGAAACAACAACAATCCCATCAAACACCTGCGGTTCATGCCGCCAGGCGACGCTTTCTCCGTGGCCTTCTTTTGCATCTTTCCCTTGTACTCGGTCTGCTTGTTCTGCCAGGTATGAACTTGCTTCTGCCAAGCGGACCACTTCGTCTTGAACCACCTGAGATGAGCTTTCAGAAGCTGAATTTCATGGGATCTTCAGCATTTTGGGGATCTATGATTTCACATCGGTGAAATAACAAAGTGTTCACCTACAAACCGGTTCAGCACGTACGTTCTTGTTTGGGCAGGAAAGGATGAGCATCTGAGGCCAGGTAGGCAGGTAGACTGGTCGGATGTCTATCCTTCTTAGGGTTTTCTTCTAACATGTTTCATTATGTTTCTATACATTTGGGGTCCCAAAAACCCTTTCCCCCCCTACATCTTGTGGCGTCAAGAAGGTCGTGAGTGCCACCTGAGAAAAGCTCTTACATTGAATTTCAACTGTCCATCATGTGTTCAAAAGGTTTCAATTCCTTTTTGGGGAGCCCCCCTTTCCAATCAGAAATAGGTCCTAGTCCTAGGTTCTTCCGGTTCTTCCCCTGAAAGCCTTATCCTTTCCCCTGGTTTCCCCGCACTAGAACGGGGTTCTTCGGCATGAAGGGGAAACCATACGGTTCTGAGGGAGGCCACTGGAGCGACGTTCTTTTCTTTTGGCATGAAAGGGTTTATCAAGGGGCTTCCACCCTTTGAGGAGGAAGAGGAGAAGGAATGATTGCAAGTACGGGTATGGTTTGGTAGTAGTTATAGTCTATACTCGTTTATTGATCGCTTACAAAATTGGATCGTTGTCCTAACATTTTTTTAAAGTACAGGGTCTATATGTATGTAGAGTCACTATTACTTTCCTCGAACTGGGTGCGTCTAATTTCATTCAACATCAAAACACTTCTTCTGCGCGTCCCCAACCGATCAACCGTATAAGACCTGTTGCGATGTTTCTGACATTTGTTCGTCTCCCTCGTCTCCTGGGCTCGCTTCCCAGCGACGCGGAGGGGCTCAAATCTTCCACTCGGCTGGTGAGCTTGCGTTCCTCGGCCACGTCTTCCACGAGAAACACGGCACGAACGGTGGGTGTTTTCGAGGGTCGGTAGGTCGGTTCGGCTGAACAAACTCTGTTCGGGATCCGGAAGGCTCAAGAACAAGCACGAGTTCTCCGTATGTTGCTTTTGATCCGTCACGGGTGAATGGATCTTGAATCCTGCGCGAATCTTGGCCTATGGCGGGCCTATGGTTTGACCACCCAAATGAAACTATTCTTATGACCGAAACCCCATGAAATATATGAAATGACCACAACAATAGGCTTGAATAGGCAGTGTACCAACCAACTCTCTTTTCTTCCCACGAGCCATTCTCCGATCCATTTCTCCTTACAACCAGCACCAGCACCCCCACCACTACCAAATCGACCGTGTGTTGCGCTTATACTGAGGCGTACTCTTACTCTTACGACCGGACCCCGCAAAAGAACAAACCTGCCAAACCCAAACGAACCGCCAAACCGCGCCCAAACTACGACCCGCCCCGCACAACCCTCCCTTCCCCCTTCCTTCCGCTGAGCTGCCATGATCCACTTCTGCAGCACTTCGGCCGCCTTGCCTCCCTTGGTCCATTCGAAGTGCACATCGTCGAAACCCTCCTCCAGGTCGGGCAACGTGAACTTGGTGAAGCCTCCGGAGCGACCGAGTTCAGCGAAGACGCAGCGGCGCCTTTTGGGAGGACTTTCTACTTCAATGGACGACTCTAAACGGAGTGAAGGAGGAAGGAAGTTAGATGAAGTTCATCTAGTCTAGTCATTGTATCGTCATGTAAGCACAAGAGCATCATGTATAGTCTGAATCTTGTCTATAATTAGTCCTATATAATGTCCTATATATTGGTCTCATGCGTCTTATGTAGTTATAAAATATCCACGAGAGTATGTAATCACATCTAAGTTCTGAATGATGGCGACCTTGTGAGTCCCTCCCAAACACAACACCATTCACTGTGAAGGCAAACAAACAAACTCATTGAATTTCACCATCATATCATCTCGTGATGGCCCAAAAAACATGGTGCTCCAAAAAGAAACATCACCTCATATCAAAAAGTAAAATGGTGACCATTTGTTGGCGCCCGCCTCATCTCCTATCATCTCGTGACCTTTTTGGGAGGACTTTCTACTGCAGCGGAGCCCGAAACCTCCCGACACCATATCTTTTTCAGTGCACTGACCTCTGGTGTTGCGGAGCTTGCATCATATTTCAATCGTTCGTTCCCGCAATGAGGCATCTACATCATGTATGTAATTATATATATACCTAGCACTTCCTGTCTGGGTGTCCTGTCTGGTGACCTATAAGCAGTTTAGGGTGGTCCATTGGTAGCCCCTTGGAAGCAGCAGTTCTATATTCATTAATTATTCGTAATACGTACATACCAGGAGTCACGTTCGACGGAGTACCTATTGGAGGTAGTCGGGGTGCCCTTGTCACATCACATCCACGGCCCCTGGATGGGACTAAAGGCCACCCGTTTGTCACATTGTTATATATATTACCCAGACACTCCATGTATGCCATATATGCCCACATTGACCCCTCAAACCACCCCAATGTAGGTAAATATGCCATACATGGAGTGTCTGGGTTATGATATATTCAATATCATTGCGGATCGCCAAAGAAAAGAACATTTAAGGCGGATCTCTGGTATTCTTCCACCAATCCAACATGTGACTTCATCAAGGCTCGTCTCAATCCCCTCATCTTCCTTCCTGGAACTCCGCCACGGCTGCCAAGGGACTGGTGTTCAGCAGTGTGGTGGAGATGTCCGGGTTGGGCAGCTTGCGGAAGGGCATCTTCTTTTCCTGGAAAGCTAAACTCTGCGGCGAGAATAGGCCACACGTGCTGAGAACTTCTATCTTGATACCTTCACTTCCACAAGCAGTGGAAGCTGCGGTTCGGAAAGGCCGTTAACAAAAACGGCAGATGTGACACATGGGAATACCAAAGATCCCCCAAAGATTGGAAACAGGCCGCAAGGCCAAAAGAAAGAAGTGACTATCGCTGAAGAACAGCTGGCCGACGTCAAGCAAACCCTAGGCCACTGCCGTTGTTTCGGCCTTTGTTCAGCTTTTCTCTCTGGGTGTGTGTGAGCTGCCATTGTTTGCCAATGTGCTAGATATATAGCGATGTTTTCCACGCGATCAGCAGCTGTCTCGCTGGACGAGGCACCAAATAGTTAAACCGCATCCAAACAATTCCAAACAGCACACCTTGCAAACAAAAACAAGCCCTAGGGCTCCAAGTACCTTCTAAGAAGGTGTTTGGGTCCAAATACCTTCTGAGGAGGTACTTGGAGCCCTAGGGAAGAGTTGTTGTGCAGTTTGACCACAAAAGACACTCGGAAGAACGGCCCTAGGAAGACCAACCCTCTTGTCCATCATGCGTGCATCCCCGCGCGTGCATCCCGACTGGCCTCAGGCGTGAGGGTAGCCTTCGGTGGGTCCTCTTCCACCTCAACCTCATCCTCCTCAACCTCATCTTCGTCCTCCTCCTCCATCTCCTCATCCTGACCCAACCCAGGCGACGGAGGCAGCGAGCGTCAAGACGCGAGCGTGCCGCGGACCCCAAGCGCCGCAGCGCTGCGCAGAGCGGTGTGTTTTTCGGGTGAAGCGAGCGAGCCGGGGGAAGCAGACGCAGTGCCTCGGACTGTTCCTGGAGGAGCTTCAGACTGTTTGTTCTGAACAGCAAGAGAGACTAGTTTTGCCTGGCCTCAACCCCACAAACATCCACAAACAACCCTGAGCCGGATCAAATGGGAACTCCTTATTCTCTATAGTCCAAAAAAGCCACCCCATACCGGGCGCCGTGCGCATCCGTGCGCCGTGCCCCGTGCTGCCTTGGCTTCCTCTGCCTCTTCTTCCTCGTCAGGCAACTCAAGTCCCTGTTCCTTGGTGCTGCAGTGCTGTCACGAAGCGAGATCAGAGCTGCCGAAACGAAGCTCAAAGGAGGCATCTTCTGCCCACCAAATCCTCCGTCAATTAAGAAGTGTAGCAAGTCAATCATAGTGGGAATTGGAACCATCTTAGAACATATACTACATACACCGCTCATGTTCCAACTAATTCTAAAATGGCCACGGCTTCTGCCATTGACATGATTTGCTCTGATTGGCACGCAAAGAGACAAGTCTAAAAAGTAGGATGGAAGAACCATTCGAGTTTAGGAAATCATTCTGCTTCAGTCGCTAGCTTGAGCCTCCTTGCCTACCCTTATCACATCCCCCCGTCCGGGGGCCTCTGCCTTCTTTCGTTCGGCCTCCTTCTTGGCCTCGCATGTGGCCGGGTGCAATCCATTGGGGGGCATGGTGGCATGGCATGGTGTGGAACTAATGCGCGTGTATTTTGATACGGCAGACCCTAATCCGATGGCGAGCACCCAAACAAAAGGAAAGGCTCGGTGGAAGCATGTCTAGACAGGTTCCTGTGCGCGTTTGGCCACATGGCTGGCACGTGTCTTTCTTCCGGCACCTTCTCCTGGCTCTTCTTAAACTCCTCCATCTTCTTAAGTCGCTCTTTTTCGGCCTAGCCAGGCCAAGAGGCCGACAAACGGCCCAGTGCCACTCGACAAGTGCCTGGAGCTGGTGTGAAAGAACTTGGAGGCTGCCACCAAACCCACGCCACCCCCACCCCCACTCTTCTTCTAGAGGAACAAGCTCTTCCGTATAGCAGCTGTTGCGTGGGTCAAGGGGTTGGCTTTGGAGAGGAATCCCAAAGCCATGTGGGTGAGTCAACTGCGAATCGTAGAAAGCAACGCCATCTTCGGTACGTCTTCGTGCTCCCTCGAGTGCTCCGAAGCCCGGTGCACTAAGTCTGTCCACCGGTCACACCTCCAAGGAAGTTGATTGTTCAGGAATGCTTTTGCCCAGATGCTTCAGAGTGCTCGAACTTCTCTGGGTTCAAAGAACTCGTTCTTTGGTGGGTGAATCTGGATGTGTCTATATTATGTTAGACCGGATGTCTTTGGTAGCATAGAACCACCTAACATGGAACTTCCAGCTTTGACAACAACTTTTCAATGGCTGTGGCTGTTGGATGGATCGGCTGACGTGAAAAGTGGGCCCATATCATCCCATATCGGTACCGGTGGATGGTTATTTTTCTAGCCTGCCAAAGGAATCCAGGTGAGATACAAACCGCCAAGAATGTGGAAAAGCTGCCCCTACACCACTTTCACGCGCGCATTGGACACCAAGAACTGCATGGCAGAACTGCAGACCCACCGCAGTCGACCGCAGTTCCACTGCAGGAACAAACGACGCCTGGTCACCTTAACTCCAGAGGGGTTCACCCGATTTCCAAAGAGAGTACATTTGCCATCAACCCGGGCTGATGTCGTAAGTATTCCATGGCCTTTTTCTTGGCCTTCTCAGCCTCTTTCTGCTTCTTCTCCATCATCTTCTTCCGGTTGGCCTCAAACCAGCACCCCCAAAAATCCCCCAAACCATGAGCCACCCAATCTTTGATCTGGGCTAAGCTCTTGACCCGGTGCCAGCTTGAGTAAACACATCCATCGACGAAACACTTCCGTCAAACAATCATGGAAGCTGCGCAGGCCTCACTTGTAGAGGAAAATAGGTTTTCCAGCCGAACCGTTCCACTTCCATGATTGTTTCAGGGAGTGTACATGTGTCAGAGTGAGGAATCATGAATGTTACCATCTTATCTTGATTCTTATCTAACATGTCTAACATGATCTCTGTGTGCATTCCGCCGTTCTTCCCATAAAATGGTGGGTCCGTCTGACTGAACAACAACTCCACTAAAAGTAGTTGCCCCATCGCTCCTGGACGCAGCCAATGGACGCATGTTTTAGCTCTTCCAAGTGGCTCCGTGCTGCGCAAGATCTGTCGCAATGCTGTTGCCCAATCTGCCTTTGTCGCATGCGTCCCGCTGCAGCACGCACAGCTCTTGCCACATCTGCCACATCGGCCACATTCATGTCAGCTCCAGCCTCAAACAACAATCTTGCCACTTACAACAACCATTCTGCTGCAGAAAACGCTGTTCGCCCATCTGTGTTGGCCGCATTCATGTCAGCTCCAGCCTCGAGCAACAACTGCACCACTTCCAAGTGGCCCCGTAGAGTTGCAAAAAGCAACGGTGTTGCCCCATCTGCGTCTTCCGCATTCATATCAGCTCCCGCCTTCAGCAACAACCGTACCTCTTCCAAATGGCCCCGTGCTGCTTGATCAAGCAATGCTGTTTCCCCATCTGCGTTCGCCACATTCACGTCAGCTCCAGCCTCGATCAACAATCTCACCACTTCCAAGTGGCCCTGTTGTGCAGCAACTAACAACGCTGTTGCCCCACGTGCGTTTGCCGCATTCATGTCAGC